CTTTTATATTATAGATATATAAATTTAAAACCTATTATAAAGTTATATTTTTGTAAATGCCTATAAATATGCTATAAAAATTTTAAATATAAAATGTAAAACTCACTAAACATTTGTCTCTAATATGATATGTAATCATCGTTTAAACAGCAATGTCCACAAATTACTTCCAAAAGTGGATATCATCCCACGTGTAACATTTAGTCAATATTTGTGTGTATTTGGCCTTCAAAGAGCTCAGAATTATTTTAATAAGACTATACTCTCGAAAAATGGTATGGACATTGAAAGCACGAAATTCGAAATTCAAATCTGTGAAGTCTGTATAAAATTCAAACGATGAAGCACTACCTTGGTCGTTGTTCCGTTCTTCGAGAGGTCTGACAAAAAATATCCATTTTTGGTATTTTTTTTTTTTTTTTTGACAGACCTCGTTTTGAACATTATGGGCTTACTTAACACGGTAGACTGTAAACGTATTAAAGTCATTAAAATACACATGGCAAGATGACATGTTGCTCAAACAATGCATCCCAGAGTTTGTATCAAAAATCGAAGTTAAATATTTAAAACCTGTGCAGCTGAAAGAGGCGATATGAAGAATCTATAAATAAACCTTGATTCTTAAAATCACTCATTCACATTCATTACAATCGGAAATTCTAATGAATGAATTGATGAAGGGGCTGTCAAAACATGCAAATAGCAGTCATTCAAGAAATCAAAAATTTGTCAAGTCAGCAGAAAAAAACGGCAACAGCAACAACATATTGTGTTACTATGAAAGATTGCAATAAATGACCGTTGAAAATCATGAATAGTTTCATAAGCAAATTATCAGCATCATTCTGCGTTCGCCTGTCATTAATGTTTAACATTATGTCTATGGTAGAATAAAGGAGGTAACCTCTTGAAATTATATGTTTACAATGTTTTTCTCTTCCAAATTACCTTTGACAACATCTAATTGTATGTTTACAAATCATAGACTAGAAAATTAGTTAAATTATGATGCGTTCTACAAAGATTGCTTATTTAATTGACATATAACATACAGGGTGAGATGAAAAAACTGCAATCAATTTCAGACTGCTGTCATTACTAAGCCACTCGTCCGACGGTTGTTAAAATTACTCCAGTAACAGCTCATTATATTGTTAACAAGCGTACAAAAGCATTTTGGTGAGAACTCTCAAGAAAAAAGTTATTCGTGATGGAATTCAAGCGTAATAGTGTGATTTATTTATATTTGGCTGGAAACCCACAAGTGGTTATCGTTAGAGCGCTCCAGCATTTAAATGTGGATAAATCTTTTGTGTCCCGTGCCATCGCTCGTTACCGTGTTACTGGTAACGGTACCGTGACGTGAAGGAAGTAGATGGAAGAAAACAGCAACATCAGCACACATGGTTCGAAAAGTAAAGAAGCGACTTGATCGAAACCCGCGCCGCAGTGGCAAATATTAAAAAATTAGCTCGGGGTAAAGCCATTGAAATTCCAAAAAGTGCAAGCACTTACATCGCAAAGAGCTAAAGAGTTTCTTCGCTTGGCCGAAAGTGGTGAACTGCCGAATTTGGTTTTCTCCGATGAGAAAACATTCGTTGTCCAGCAGTTTGTAAACAAATAAAATGAACGTGGATCGTGGATGTTAAAGAGGTCAGCTGAAAATGTGCACCTTCGGTTGGCCACCAAAAATCAAGCGTTGGAACAAATATAAAATTTTAAGGAGGACTTTTCGCTGACGAAGTAGCAGGCACATGCTAGTACTATATAAATACTTATGTGCTGCACCAAAAGACAATTTATGTGAAGCGCCTGAAAGTATGCTGTAAAAATGTCACTACAATTCAATTCAATTCAAATTTTTATTGAGTCTTTTTTTTTTTTTTTAACACGAAAATTTACAATTTTGAAGTGAAGAAAGAAATACTTAAAACTATAATGTTTTGTTTTAATGACTAAAGCGTATTTTCAGCGTCTGGCTTTACAAAAATTGATAATTAGTGTTTACTAAACTAAGAGTGTATATCGTGCTTGCTCCCGGCACTACAATGTTTGAGAGCATGTCTCATTTTATTTACCTTAAAACTAACTTAACCTAAACCTAACCTACACTTAAACAACAGAGATGATCAAACGAAAGTTTGTTCATCTAAGTTGTTAACTAGCCCCTGTGAATTCCACGAGAGGTGCTAATGTAAAATTCTGGACACTGAATATCTTCCAGAGACATGTATAAGTCAATACCTAACGGTGAGACGTAATTAGTATTTTGCCACGTGAAATTAGATTCCTTATTAACACATTCCTGAATAAGCAAGTTTGAATGCATAAAAGCCCTGTTAGCGTAGTTTTTAATTAAACGCATAGCATATACTGAGATTGGGGTAACTTTCGATGCTTCGTATATATACCGATTTGAGAAACGCTTATTATGGTACTTAAAATTTTTTCCAACACAGAGACGAAGTATTTTTCTTTCGAATATCTCAAACTCTTTCATTACCGTTGGAGAGATTGGGAACCATATAGGTAGTGCGTACACCAGTACAGGCCTAATGCTTGTTTTTCACTACATAAAACTCTAATATGATGTGTAGACTAGCTTTTAGTAACCTCAAATAAATCTTTGTCGAGAATACCATACTCAAAATTAACTATTTCTCATATCCTAGTCCTTTATATTATGGTACCGCTCGATTTTATGTATTGTTTTAGTACATCAAACTATGCACATAAAATATTGGGCTGTCCACACATTTTGGCAAATAACTATGCTTGATATTTTCAATATTTGGAATCAATTTCCAACCAAATAAGATGTAATTTGAGATTAAGTGTTCTCGGTTGTTAGTTAACTTTTCGACGTCGTTTGTGAAATACCCACTTTATTTTCTTTACTTTGATATTTTTGGTTTTCAACCAAATCAGTTGTTATGTGATATGTTTGGTTATTTGGGGATATAAAAATTCCTTTTAAAAAAGTATTATAAATTAAATGATAACCGGCCATAAGTCAAGTTTTTACATGACAGAGGGTATAAAAACAAGGGCCCGCTCCAAACGTAACTTATTTTTTAATTGTTTGCTCTTAAATTGCCCCCATGTTTACTAGGATAGAAGACGACTGATGTTATTCGACGCGATTCTTTTGATTCAGAGGGATTGAAAGGGGAATCCAAAGGTAAAGTGAGCCACAAGTTTTTAAAGCTGATCTCTGATCATACTGATACAGTCACAGTAAAAGTTTCCATTACCAAATAATGAGTTTTCGTGAAGAAATTATTGACAATCCTAACTACTTACAAATCAACCTATTAACCCATTATTTTTACAAAGGTTAGTCCACACAATTATCATTATAAAATAATGAGTTTATTAGGAAGGTTAAGGCACCAGAATCTGCTTCAAAAACAGTGTCCTAACTCATTATATAAGCATAGACATGTCAGAACAAGTAAAGACTTACCGAACTGCCTCCAATAACCAGGAAAAAGGTTCTATTTTTAGAAAATTTGACTTACATTAAATTTTTATACCCTCCACCATACTATCGAGGGTATATTAATTTTGTCATTCCGTTTGCAATTCCTCGTAATACACATGTCAGACCCAACAAATTATATATATATTCTTGATCAGCGTAAAATTCTAAGTCGATTTAGCGATGTCCGTATGTCTGTCTGTCTGTTGTAATCACGCTATCTTTCGAACGAATTAAGATAGAATGCTAAAATTTTGCACACATGTTTATTTTGCCAGTAGACAGGTTCGTAAGTTCGTAAATGGGCCATGTAGGTCCACGTTTTCATATAGCCCACACATAACGGTACCTCCCGATATTCGGTATTTCGATGATTTTAGCAACATTATTCGGTGGAATTGTTTCAAATATGATATTTGAAGTTCGAAATGGATACTACAGCCTATGTCAGAAACATTTCTGTGCAGGTCTACGTCTTCGTATAGCCCTCATATAACGGTACCTCTCAATATTCCCTATTTTTTAGCGTCACTATTTACCGGAGCAGTTTCAAATTATGTATTTAGAGTTCGTAATGGGAACTACAGTCTGTGACAGAAAATTGTATATGTAGGTCCAGGTCTTCGTATAGGCCCTTATATATAAGTACCTCGCTACTTTCGGTATTTTGACGATTTCATCTACAATACTAATCAAAATTATTTGAGATGTCGTGACAGAATGTGACAGAAATTTGTCTATCCAGGTCTTCGTATAGCTCCGATATAACGGTACCTCCACATATACGGTATTTTGATGATTTTAGCTACATTATTCACCGTTTATTCGGCATTTTTAAGATTTCAACAGATTTTATTTTTTTAAAAATTTCCAAATTCGTTGCAAATGGTGGAAGGTATTAAAAGTTCGGCCCGGTCGAACTTACTGCTTTTTAACTTGTTTATTTTTTTTCGCTTAATAAAATGGTGGAGCTGCCGATTTTAGTAACAATGGCTGAGTGCATGATCTTTACAGCTACCAATCAGAAGATCGCCATCGCAATAAAAGTGCGATGGTTTGTTTCAACTTATGTAATGGCTTTTGGTGGCAGTTTGGTAAGTACTTACTTCCTACGTTTAATGTCTATGTTAAGAAGGGGCTGGGATATAATTATTTGGTAACACTTGGTAATGAGGAATGTAAGGTGTTTTGTTTTATAAGTTTTTTTTAGAAATAAATTATCATTTTATTCTGCTGATACAGCTCCCAAAGTTTCTTGTGTACATCAAAACACCGAGCTGTATCTTTTTAAAGTTTATCACTTAGAGTCCGCTCAAGGTATACACTGAAATAATTTATATTTATTTTTTGTGATTCATGAAACTCGTGTTGTATTCATCACCACTTATCACTTAAAATATCAGATTATCATTGCTAGAAAGTTCAGTCCTCCATCGTATGAATGTCAATATTTCGTGGATTTCCAGAAACACACAAGTCAGGTAGGGTGATTTGGAATAAATCTCTGATTACTTACTTGACAATATTCGGATGATCCGAGGCATTCAATTGTTTTAGCAGAGCAATTTCACGCAACGTTGACATTGGCACTCCATTATCTGTCAGTGGTATTCGGACTTTTTTGATAGCCACAATGCGGCCAGTGAGATTATCTCGCGCTCTATAAACGGTGCCATAGGCGCCTGGTTGTGGGGGGTACATTTTGATTGGTTGATCGATTTGTTTGGTGCCCGGGTGTGTGTGTGTCGATAATTAACAGGTGGTATTGAGTCAAGGCGGCAGGTAAGTTGAAATTGACATTGTTATGGTTATGGAATCCCATCATCATCAGCACCATCAGCCGCAATTTATAAACAAATAGTCGTAATGTAAACAATCCAAAGCGAAGAGTGTGGGGGAGCCGGATGATAGCCGCCACATAGTATTGAGGTATGCCAATAATTAATAGCGCAAGCCGACCGAAGATCAATGAATTATCATGGCCATTGACCGATCCAATGAGGAAGATCCAAAACAAATACATGAAAGTAAATAAAATAAAATACAACAAAAATTAACAACTTGCAAAACATAAATATAAAAAGAAAACCAAAATACAATGGCAATAGCAACAAAAAAGAGGTCAATGTCACAAACAATTATTGCAAACAAACATAATATTTTAAAAGTAAAATAAAAAAGCTGACAATATAACGTCAGCAGAGCAGAGGCAGCAATAGCTTTTCGATAACGACAACATCGACTGCAGGAGATGGAAAGAGAGAGCGGAGAGAGTGAGTGATTATGTTGACGGTGCAGTATTTTCTTTTCTGTAAAGACAAAACTAAATAGAACGGAGTAGTAAAATAAAATAAAAACAAATACTGCCGATAAAAAAGTGGAAAAAGAAACAACATTTCCATACGAATTAGGAGCATCCAGATGTCAGAGCTTTGACTACTTATTTCGGGTGACATGCACTTGTGGGAGTATTGTTAGCAACTCTGATTGCTGACGATTGTAAAATATAGGTATGTTGAGCTTGAGGCTCTGTCAGTCTTTAATGTCATTCTCACTCCATCTGGATCTTGAAGGCCCTTCTTGTCACTCCTGGGTGGAGGTTTTCTTGAATAACTTCAATAATCCCATAGCCAAAACAAAAAAAAGCATATTACTTATTTTTTGAGAGGAGCTAATCTACACAGAACGTAAGAAAAACATAAAATATCAAATTACAAGGTGATATAAAAAAACTGAAACAAAGTCAAACGCCATAATATTTACATTTTTTATTTTTTATTGAATGAAAGCAAAAAATGTCGAAAACATCAGATTTTAGAATAAATTTAGATTTGATTTTGATATGAAATTTAGATTTTAGATCGACACTTTGGTATTTTTTAGTGTTAACCTTGCTTTCCAAAATACTCCAGACACAGTAGCCCAACAGATTGGTATACGCAGATTTTGGTCGCCATTGTGTGCTGGGAATGAAGCGAGGAACCTCATTTTGTAAGCATTCTTTTGTGGCGCATGCTGGGTGCGATGGTGCTGAGTCCTGTTGGAATGTCCAAGGTCTGCGGCCAAAATCTTTGCGTGAATGTTGCGGTGTAAGTTCTTGCACTTTTTGGAATTTTAATGGCTTTACCTTGACCTCATTTTTCAATATTTGCTGAATGGAATATTGCGATATGTGTCATTTTACGGCCAATGTGACACGGGTTTTGATCAAGTCGTTTCTTTACTTTTTGAACCAGTTCCTTCTTCCGTCCACTTCCTTGACGTCGGGTTACGTTACCAGTATCACGGTAACGAGCGATGGTTCGAGACACAATAGAATTATTTACATTTAAATGCTAGAGTGCTATAACGATAGTCACTTGTGTTTTTCCAGCCAAATATGGCTTGGGGTAAAAGCCATTGAAATTCCAAAAGGTGCAAAAACTTACACCGCAACAGAAAAAATAGACTCAAAATAGCTAAAGAATTGCTTCGCTTGTCCGAAAGTGGTGAACTGCGGAATATGTTTTTTCCGATGAGAAAACATTCGTTGTCCAGAGGTCTGCTGAAAATGTGCACCTTCGGTTGGCCACCAGAACTCAAGCGCCGGCCATGGTGATGGTGTGGGTCGCCATAACAACCGATGGTCGCTCTCCGCTCGTATTAATCGACCGTGGCATCAGAATAAATGCCGAATATTATCGCGAAAATATTCTGGAGGAGCACGCAAACATATTGGCCGAAGACCTTGGACATTACAACAGGACTCAGCAGCACAAAATGAGGTTCATCGCTTCATTTCCAGCGCACAATGGCTACCAAAATCTCCGGATACTAATCCGTTGGACTATTGTGTCTGGAGTATTTTGGAAAGCAAGGTTGGCACTAAAAAATGCTAAAGTGTCGATCTCCTCAAGCAAGCGTTTCGCAGGGAATGGACCAAAATACCGCAGAGCAACATTCGGGCAGTGTGTGACGGTTTTATTTGCTGTTTGATGGCCATAATTCGTGCCATAGGTGACCAATTCGAACAAATCTAAACTTATTCTAAAATTTGATGCTATTTCTGACATTTTTTGCTTTCATTCAATAAAATTTAAATAAAATATATCAAAGTTATGGCGTTTGACTTTGTTGCAGTTTTTTTTATCTTACCCTGTATATCAATGTCGGTGATTTTTGTGGCTTGTATAATGTAATATTGTGCTCCTGTCTCAGTAGTTTTCTCCTAGTTCACCATATTTTGCGGAAATTATTAAAGATTAAGTGGCTCACTATGTAAGAGTTCACCCGTGTCGCTATAGTTCAGATGGCTCACTTGTTACACTTTTTTACCTCATTCACCCTTCATCAGTTACCTGACCCCAATAAATAACCTAAATTGCTTTTTATCAGAGTTTGGCCGGATGGACAACCTGATTCAATAAAGTTTAACTGGCTCATAATATCAAGAGAACTGTTATCGCCATGTTTACAAAAAAGTGGAACAAGTAGCCAAAATCTATGTATTGCCTACTGGTTGAATTTTTGCCTCCTCTAAACTATCTGTTTTACCATATTCCCAGATCACCATATTTCACCTAGGCGTTTAAGCTTTAAACATTTGAGTGTAACTTATTTACATCAGTTCAACTGGTTCTCAATATTTCACTTGATTCACAATAGTTCGAATTGCCGACTGTAGCTCCTATGATCTATTTTTCAAGTTGTATCAAAAAATATCTGTTTTTTGAGGATTGTTCCACAAAACTATGCCAGCTAGCCGACACATCGTCAAGTACATTTCAACTATCCAAGATAAATTTACAAAAAAAAAAAAAAAATAATATTTTTTTAAAAAAAAATCTAATGTATGCCCAAAAATTGAAACACTTGATGATCACAGGGTTGGCTACGCATCTAAATATGGAGATTCGTTTTTCGATAAACATTTACATTTCAATTCATGAATGAATGAGCGGTGAGCGAGAGTGGTCCAGCAGCAGCAAAGACAAAATGTCATAACGGCAACAATCGTCACAGAGTGGGGATCAGATCATTGAATTGCTGTAGAATAATAAATAAGTGAGATGCGCTCTGACGACTATGCTAACGTTTTGCTAATTAATATTCAAGAAAACAAAAAATACAAACAGAACAACAACAAATCAACACCGGAAGAACGACAGATCCAGACTAACTGAGTCACTACATAACAGGGCGAGAGACAGCGATTTGCTGTGCGTCTATTGGGATAGGTCAAGGGGATGTCAAAAATAACAAAAAAAAAAACACATAATCAGTATATAATGTTAATGTCCAAAGTGCGGCAGTAATAGCACAAGTTTAGTAAGGCTGTTGCGCAGGTTCAGAAGATCGTAAAAGTCAACAATTTTTATAACTGAAAACAGAGTATTTTCAATTTTAATTATATAATTATTGAGAGGTTCGCATGTGTGTAGTCTCATGAGTGGACTTACTGGAGTGTCTGTAGGAAATATGCAAATTGAAATACAATTAGATAACATTCGAATAATTGTGTTTATACAAGTAATACTGGATGGTTTAAATCTTTTTGTATATAGCCTATAAAAGACTAAAAATTGGCTTGTTAGAATCCTGAATAGAACAAGCATTCATATTCATGGTCTCTATAGTTCACTTGGCTGACGATAGTTCTCCAGGCTCTTTATATGTCACCAGGATCTCTATAGTTCACCTGGCTCACTATAGTTCACCTGACTCACTATAGCTCAACTGGCTCACTATATCATAACGGGCTTAATGTAGTCTCCCTGACTCACTATAGTTCCATGACACACTACTATTCACCTGGCTCTCCATAGTTCACATGGCTCACTATAGTTCACATGGCTCACTATAGTTCACATGGCTCACTATAGTTCACATGGCTCACTATAGTTCACATGGCTCACTATAGTTCACATGGCTCACTATAGTTCACATGGCTCACTTTAGTTCACATGGCTCACTATAGTTCACGTGGCTCACTATAGTTCATCTGGCTCAACATAGTTCACCTGACTTACTATGGTTCACCTGGCTCACTATTGTTCACCTGACTCACTATTGTTCACCTGACTCACCATAGTTCACCTGGCACATTATAGTCCACCTGGCTCAATATAGCTCCCCTGGCTCACTATAGTTCACATGACACACTGCAGCTCAACTGGCTCACCTATACACACACTATAGTTGACCTGGCTCACAAAAGTTGACCTGGTTCACCATAGATCACTTGGCTCACAAAAGTTGACCTGTCTCACAATAGTTCACCTGGTGCACTATATGTAACCTTAATCACTACGATTAGTACAGCTACAGATTACAAGACTCACCAAAGTTCACAATAGTGAGTCAGTATAGTTCACCTGGCTCACCTCAGTTCACCTGGCCCACTTTAGTTTACCCGGCTCGGTATAGCTCTCCTTGATCTCTTTAGTTTACTACATTAGTTCACCTCACTGACTCACTTTAGATCACCTGATCCACTTTAGTTCACCTGGCTCACTCACTGTTCACTAAAATAACCCTAGTCTATCCATAGTACATTTGGATCGCAATGATTCAATATATTCGGCAGGTGTTTTATATTTGCTTAACTTTTTTTTTAATTTTTATTTCTTAATTTTGTATCTTTTAAATCTGTGTGTCTGGTTTTTACTTTCATTCAATTGACGGCACATCCACTTTTTTCAACGTTGTTATGGCTTAGCCAAATCGACGTGGGAATTTTTAACGAAAAAAAAAAAAATAGCAAGAAAGTAAAAATGATGTCAGCTTTTAAGTATTTATATGAATTTTGATTGTGAAGCTAACGAGCAAGAAGACGGTTGAGAAGAATCAAAAGACATTACGGGCTTTCTATACAAAACCCTAACCTGAGAAACTCCAAAAGGTCTTCCATTTTTTTCGTCTTCACACCATCCTTCGAAACCCTTAAAGATCCAAAGGGCTTAGAGACCTTCACTACAAAGCCCTGAATCTTCTTGAAGAAGCTCATAAAGATCTTCTCTAGGAAGCCCCTCAAGGACTTCTCTAGGAAGCCCTTAACTAAATTTTCTACGAAGCGCCTATTGTCTTCTATAAGATGCCCTTAAACCCGTTCTTTATTAATACCTATAAGGCCATTTATACGAAAAATGTGAAGGAATTCTCCACAAAGAACTTGTAGACGAAGAAGGTCTTCTATAGCAAGACCTGAAAAGCCTTCTAAAGGAACACTTAAAGGTATTTGTATAGAAGGCCCTATAGTCTTCTATACAAAGTCATTACAGGCCTTCTAGGAACACCTTAAAGACCTGTTATAGAAATACATTAAAAATCTTCTTAACGAAGACCACAAAGACCTTCTATAGGAACCCTTTCCTATAGGAAGAGTATAAATGCATTCTATGTGAAGACTTTAAGGCCATAAATACGAAGCCTTTAAATAGGAAGGTCTATACGAAAGCCTGTAAGGCCTTCAATGGGGAGAACGTAAAGACCTTCCATTGAAAGACCATAAGATCTTCTATGGGAAGATATTTAAGGCTATATACAAAGTGGCGCAAAATTAACCCTCATGTCAGAAAATGTTATACATTTTACGATTGGCCCTTAATATCTTAATTACAGCAAAAAAAACCTTAAAGGCTTTTTAAGAATATCTGAAAAGACCTTTATAGGAATTGAGGTCTTCCTTTCAGTCTTCTCTCCGAAAGCAATTTTATGGGAAATCTTAATGAAATACCCTAAACACCTTTTTTGAAAAAAAAAACTTTTTTTATTAGAACACGATCTTCTATAAAGCAGAAAAACATCCAAACTTAGGAAAACATACAATATATGTACATGTGTATTTCTGACATTTGCCTCTGTGGTCAGACTCAAAAAGAAATTGTGACACTTTAAAATTTGGTCCAGCATTACTCACCTGTTCCGATGACATTGAGCTCTTCGTAATTGAATGGGTCACCATCGTTAAATGTCTGCTGCTGTGTTGCTGATTGATGTTGCGGCTGATGGGCCTTTATGTGATGGTGTTTGGAGGTCATCTTTTTTATTTCAATTTCCGTTCGGCACCGATGAATGGCGGATTATAAAGTGCTTCGTTTTGTGGAGAATTTGTCAATGGAATTTTATTGGGGTGTGATGAATTGTTTTTCTTCTTCTTCTCTTCACCTGAGATTTTGAGTCAGCTACTACTCATTGACGATTTCACTCTCTGTGCATTTCTTTTCAAACGACACGACATGTATGAGGAGTAAATATCACTTGGACGACATGGGAATTGAAACACGCAGTTTACAACACCGAGAGAATTTTTAGAGAATGTTATCTTTTTTGGTTTTATTTTTTATTATTTTCTTATTTCACAATATTTTCCCTGGTCGTTAAGTATTTTGTAATTCTTAAGTGCTGTTTTTCTATAACAAAAACATAAATCGTACAATTATTATTGTTATTCGTTAATCACTTTCTGGCGACGTCAATGTGTGTATGAGGAATGCCGAATGGTAGGAGGAAACAAAACAACCAAAATCATAAAACTAAATCACAATAAAAACAAAAACAAATTTCCAACATTTTGCTTTCTGCCTTAGTTTTGTTTGGTTTTTCTTGCTTTGCTTCCCATTTCCCATTTGCTCTACTAATGCTTTCATGCTTTAAGGCTGCCAATAATAGTTTAACTAGATAAACGTTATGAAGAAAAAAGTGTTAGAGAACTTGCAAAAGAGGTGGCTAAAACTGGTGGTTTAAAGAAGAGGTAAAAAAAAGCCAAGCTAAACGATGGGAAAGGCTAAATTTTTGTTTCCTTCAAAAAAAAAGTAAAAACAAACATTAAGTTCGGCCGGACCGAACTCTTAACTTTGAATAAAGAAGACATTTTTATATAAAAGTATCTGAATTCACACCTGATCCACTTTAAACTAAAAATACCTGTAAGACCGTTTTGATAAGGCTGTTAGACTTAAAAAAAAACCATAAAGTGGGTGAGTCCGTTGCATGGGAGACAAAGCGGGAACCTCCTCCACATCTTAAAGTTAAATTTTCAAAGTTTTGCCGTAGGAGCTGGAACCCATTAGGAATCACAAATACCATTTTTTGGCCAAATCCGTGGAAAAATTTTGGCAAAAATCATAAAAACTCCGACTATCGGGAGGTACCGTTATATATGGGCTATACCAAACCGTGGACCTATACATAACATGTTTCGCCACCGGAGCTAGAACCCATTTCGAACTACAAATACCAATTTTTAGAAAAATCCGTGGAAAAAAGCGACAAAAATCGTCAAAATATTGGAAGGTACCGTTATATGGGGGCTAACAAAAAAGTGGACCTACACATACAATGTTTCGCCACCAAAGCTAGAACTAATTATGGCCTAGAAATACCAATTTTTAAACAAATCCATGAAAAACTCATCAAAATGCAGAATATCAGGAGGTACCGTTATATGGTGGTTATATAAAAATGTGGACCTATACATACAATGTTTCGCTACCGGAGCTAGAACCCATTATGACCAAATACAAATACCAATTTTTAGACAAATCAGTGGAAATATGTGGCAAAAATCGTCAAAATACCGAATATCGGGAGGTACCGTTATATAGGGGCTATATAAAGACGTGAACCTGCACAGACAATCTCCTGCTATAGGGTGTGGTATCCATTACGAAATTCAAATACCAAATTTGAAACAATTCCGGTGAATAATGTCGCTAAAATCAGCAAAGTACCGAATATCGGGAGGTACCGTAATATGGGGGTTATATGAAGACGTGTACCTGCACAGACAATTTTCGGTCTTAGGCTGTAGTATCTACTACGAACTCCAAATACCAAATTTGAAACAATCCCGGCGAATAATGTGGCTAAAATCATCAAAATACAGAATATCGGGAGGTACCGTTATACGGGGACCTATATTGCCCAACACTACATGGCCTGCAGACACAATATACATTTGAGTAAAATTTTATCAATCTACTTCATTTTCTTCGGAAGCTAGAATAATTTCCACAGACGGACGGACGTCGCTAAATCGACATTGCATTTTATGCTGGTCAAGAATATATATACTTTGTGGGGTCTAAAATGTTTATTTCGAGGTGTTATAAACGGAATGATAAACTTAATATACCCTACAAAAAGACCACTCATTCGAGGGTTTACATTTTCATCCTGTACATATTGAAACTATATATAGCCGAAAATTTCAAAATATTTGGAAGAGGGGTGGTGGGACTTAAAAATTATTTTTTGGTGTGGCGAAGTGTTATTAATTTCTTTAATTATATGTTAAATAAGTTTCGTGCATACTATCGTCCAGCAGCTTCTCGCAAATATTCTGCATTCCCATATTTTGGTTATTTAAAATACTAAAACTATTTATGAAAAACGGTATCTAAGTTCAGGTTTTGGAATAGATATACGTGACCTGACCTTGGATTAATCAACTTTGACAATAAAAATTCGACTTTTTAAAATCGCCAATGCCAGCCAAAAAGTATGCAACGCATTTTAAATAAACTCAAAATCGGCCTTATGGTACTTTTTCAGCGTACTAAAAAGTTCCAATGTAAACATATATTAGTTGAATTTTGGGTTAGAAAAATCATTTTTAGCGGATTGGAGAAAATGTTAAATTTTTGAAGTAAATTCAAAAGTTCAAGAATCTACTTTTTCTCTTCACAACAATATCGTTAGTATGGAACATAGCACAATCCCCATACCACCACAGTCATCTCATGAAAGGGAATCTCGTTTGACTGCTTCAAAACAATTGAGATTTTTTAAGGCGTCAAGTCCAATTTTCTGTTTATTATAATTATTTGTAAATACTATGTTTGGTATAATTCCATTGAAAAATTTAGCAAAAATTATCAAAATATCGAATATGGGGTGATATCGTAACATCGAAAAGTGGATCTATACAGGATATGTTCAGTCATAGAAAGTGGTACCATTACGAAACTCCAAATACCAAGTTTGAAACAAATCCGTCGAAATATATGGCATAAATCTTCCAAATGCCGAATACCCTATAAAGATAATATTCTATCAAAGAAGATAGTAGCTAGTGTCAACACGAAATACCAAATTTACAACAATTCTTGTGAAAAATGTGGCTAAAATTGTGAAAAATCCGATTATCGGTAGATACAATTATAAACTATTTAAGCAATTTTTGGTCATAGAAGGCAGTAGACATCAGTAGTGGGACTGTCTAATAAAGGGCTGCAAATGCGACATATTTCTCTATTTATGCCATGGAGAGAAAACGCTCGTCATATTGTGCCCTGTTTTATCAAACGCATACCAGTACGTGACATCCAACCAAATGCTCGATGTCTCGTCATGTCGGTCAGACTCAAACCTATCGTCATAACATGCATTGACCAATAAATGAGGATCTTGAATAGTGTGTCATACAAATGTGTTCTTTCAAAAAATAGCAACAAAATGATACACTTATCAATGAAAACAGGCAATCACATACATAATGAGGAGGGAAGCCAACACTACCGGCTTTTACGATTGCGCTATGAATTCTTAGAAAAAATAATAATGTTCTGACACATTTCCTTACTAAAAGCCAGTAAGGAAAGGTCAAGACGGGCGGGGCCGACTATATGATACCCTACACCACTATGCACATTTAGTAGAGCTCCCGTAACAAAATAATTTATTAGAAGAAGATCATAATTTAGGAATTTTTGACAGATATTGGCCATTAGGAGCACAATTGACCCGAAATCGGTTGAAGATATATATGGGAGCTATATCCAAATCTGAACTAATATTGATAAAATTTGGCAGAGGATTTCCGAGCTCTATAAGATATCTGGTACAAAATATCAGTCGAATGCATATTACGAATGTGAGGGACTGAAACACAAATTGGATGAAACATATATATGGGAGCTATAGCTATATCTGAACAGAATTTCACAAGATTTAATGTACTTGCTTCTAGGACGAATTCAGTCGTAACTATCAAAACTGAGTCCATTTGGACTCATTTTAGCCATTTGGTCCACAATAAATCTGATATCGGATAAAAATATATAGCTAGATCCTAATCTGAACCGATCTCGATGAAAATTGATAGAGGTATTTTCGAGCAGTATCTGATGTCCGGTACCAAATATCATTCTTGTGGAGTGCATATAACGAATGTGAGGGACTCAAAACTCCAAATTGGATGAAACATATATATGGGAGCTATAGCTATATCAGAACCGATTTTCACCAAATTTTGATGTATTTGCTCCTAGACTAAATTCGGTCGGATGTGCCAAAATTCTGAACTGATATTGGTCATTAGGTGCACAATTAACCTGAAATCGATTGAAGATATATATGGGAGCTATATCTAAATTTGAACCGATTCTGACCAATTTCAATTGAGTTGGTCCTTGGGCTAAACAAATATTGTTTGGAAAATTTCATCTTAATGTGATAATAAATGCGACCTGCATTTTGTTCACAAAAATCCATGTATTTTTGTATCAGACGGACGGACATGAGACTTCCAACGTTTTCTTCGTGGCAATAACATAAATACAGAATGTCACATATTGATTTACACTCTAAAAAGTTCATATTTTTCAAATTGTTTTTTAAGATTTTACGGTTTATGGCATAAAATTCTCTACGTTAGTCTAATTCTCGACATTGTTTGCCAAAAAATTTAATGAGGATAAATTTCAAATTGACATAAATTAGGCACAAAATTACAACAGAAATAAAAACTTCTACAATTTTCAGGTGTCACCGGATAAGCATCGGTTAAGCATAACCCCAAAAAATGTTGTTGTTTCAATCAGTTTTAAACACAAGCCCCAACCTTCCATTCCAAATGCTTGTGTGACAAAATTCCCCTGGGAATGACAAGGTATCATAAGGTATGGCAACACCATTGCAATTTCGGGTTGCCGGGTATATTGTCATTCCATTTCTAAGAACATAGAAAATGGGTCAACATGGAACCATATGTTAAGATGTTAATAGTGTCTAAGATTTGACTTTTAGAGCATATTTCCGGTTTTCATGTACATATACATACTACAGTCTCTTGCGCCAGTAAGCAAACATTCAAGTTCATTAATATGTAAGAGAGAGAGAGAGAGAGAGAGAGGGAGAGCGAGAGAGAACACAACTAACAACCAAACAAAGGTTAATGATCTCTTTATGAATGATTATGATGTTGATGATCATTATCATTATTTGTTTGGTCATCTTTAAAAATATTTTATTATCTAAAATAGTTTAGTTTACTTTTGGTTCTTCTTATTCCGTGTGAAATTGTTATAAAATGTTGGTTTATTTTTGTTGTTGTTGTTATCAAATTAAATAATAAGAAAATGATAAATTCGACTATGGCCACTAACCACACGATAGGGGGTTGAATCAGTAGTGTGGACAGGAGGAAATCATGCATCAAATTTAAAGTTTTGTTTTTGCATAAAACGTTGGCTGCAACGGCAGCAGCGACATGAATGCTTTTGGTCTGCTGCTATGTTTATTTATAAACGTCACGGTGCGCCGCCATTGTGTGTCTATTTGCTGCATGCAGCATTTGACATTTGCTGTGCAAAACAAAACACACACACAACACTGTTGCTGTTCTTCGTGAACATGGGTTTTTGCACAGCCACAAACACATGTTGACAAACCAACCAAACTAGTAAGGGGGGACCCAAAGAGCATTAAATGTGTTAAAAGAGCTGCTAAAACAACTGAGAAGGAGAAGAGAATATGAGAGTAGGAGAAACAACGTAAAACTGATAACCGGCTGTTCTCTGTGTGTGGTGTAAGAATGAAACACGTTTTACCGTTTTTTTTTTTGTTATTTTTTGGTTGTTTCGTTCTTGCAAATGCTAGAGTTTTTGTTTATTTGCTGGATGACGGTCGTTGGGTTGATTGTCATGACAATCAGAAGCACATTGATGGGGAATAAAGCATTGGAACTGCTGACATGCCCTGGCACTATTGGGACAGAAAGCAACATGCGGCAGCGGTGTAGACATATAAATAACTAGATGATACTGTTTATTTTGAATTTTGATTCCAGAATGAAGCAAGATCAGGAACAACCTGTTGCTGTCAAGGTGTTGTGCTGGGTTGTTTTCCTGAGGCTCATGCCAGGTCAATTGATTTGGTTTTTTATGTAAAGTTAAACAAATATGCTTGTTTAGTGTTCTACCACTTCACCAACTCACACACACATTAAAGATTAAAAAAATGTAGACGACGCCAGCTGAAGTTACAACAATAATAAAAAAATATACCTATTCCACTAAATAAATGTATTCAATATGAGCTAAAAAAATAACAAAATTCCAATAACAATAGCACTTTTTAGTATATTTTATTTTTTTCTGCTTCTTGCTGTTGTTCGCTGGCCTGTTCTCAACGATTATGTGTTCCACATTATTTTTTATTTTGTATCATTTTGAGGCCACCGCCGACCACACCACGCACCAAAATTCACAATTTTTGTCAATTTCTTTTTTCGTTTGCTTGCTATCATTAGCACACACACACGCACACGCACGCACTCACACTCTAGTCTTATTGCTATTATTTTCTTCTTTATTTATTGAATTATATTTCTTCTATCAAAAAATATGAAAAGAAATTTGTGTTCAGAAAATAACTAAACAGTCAGTAAATGACGATTGATAGAGCTCGAGGCCCGAATAAGACACTGAAAGGAAATGCCAGATGCCAGAAATAACTCAACTGTCACAAAAACAAACAGCAACAAACAAACTACCTTAAAACCAGCAAGCTCACTCACACATTGTTGTGACGGCGGCGACGGCCGTCCGACTCTCTCGCAGTTGGTGTGTGTTTCACTCAGACAAAACAAACAAAAACACAACAGCTCACTTTGCAAAGACAGGCAGACCTGTGTCTGCACAGCACACACAAAAACAATACAACACATAGGGACATAAACACACACACACACATGCATGACAAGATCCTCCTTCAAACAAAGGAAAAAACAATCAAATGAACATCAGACAAAACCAAACTATGTAACATTAGTATGGCTGGGCATTAACAATTCGCTTGTGGTTTGACCTGGAAGGGGAACTAGCCACCTTACAGATGGAAGAGAAAAATCCCAACTCTCATCCTCACCACACATAGATGAGTTTGTTATAACCCAACAAATTGAGGGGCAACTCATGTTATAAACACACCACACCACTGGTTTGTGTGTCTGGAAATAAAATACCAAGGAAAAAGAGGAGAGTATACGGGAAAATATTAAACCCAAACTCACCAAATCAGTTAACAACACCACCCCAGCCACCAAAGGTGCGGATCTATGCTAAAACATGGGGATTTATGTATAAAATACCCAAAATTACCCAAGAAATGGGGCGAAAAATAATTCCCCAAGTTTTTGCATGGACAAAAAATACCCAAAGGTGTATTTTCCTTTTTACTTTCCAAGGTTTATAACCCAACTTAAATCATTGAAAAGAACCTACACCATGTTTAGGAATTAACCAAAAATCCCAATCATTCACCCATTCCCCTCATCGAACCAATGGAAGTTTTTGTTTTAATCATTGTGGGATTTTTTTTCCACCATTGTGGCTTTGCTAAGCTATCAGAGGAATTTCCTTCACAGCAAAATAATAGGTTATAAACTTAACTAAAACTGTTAGGAAATAACGTTCCCACTGATAAGGAAATTGCGAAATAATATTTTCCCATTATTAATTGTGTCCATCAACGATCATCCGCAGTGCAGGGTTGCATTTCCCACTATTGATAAAGTAAATATCCATCATATAGTCCCCACTGACAAGGAAATTTGAATTATTATTTTTTGCTTCCATCAACGAATATCCGCAGTGCAGGGTTGCATTTCCCCCATTGATAACGTAAATATCCATCATATGGTCGTTTGTTTGACTAATAATAGAAGAAAGACCAGAGAATGAGGGAACCTCAGAAAACAAATCCGTTGGTTTCAAACGAAATAATGTCCCCTCTGACATGGAAGTTGGAAAATAATATTCTCCCATTATTTATTGCGTCCATCAAGGAGTATCCGGTGTGCAGGGTTGCATTTTCCTCATTTGATAACGTAAATATCCATCATATGGTCGATTGTTTCACAAGCAATCGAAGAAAGACCAGAGAATGAGGGAACCTCAGACAACAAATCCGTTAGTTTCAAATAAGATTTGTGGGTAAAAAGTAATAAATAAAATGTGTGCAATCCCAATGACAACGATTTTTGAACATTGTTACTGGATGTCGTAAAATTTCTAAAACAGAGAGAGTTTTTGACAATTTTCTACACTCTCGACCATAGCATGGAGGGTATATTAAATTTGTCATTCCGTTTGTAACACCACGAAATTTTATTGAATGAAAGCAATAATTGTCGGAAATAGCATCAAATTTTATAATACCTTTAGATTTGTTCGAATTGGTCACCTTTGGCACGAATTATGGCCAATGAAACCGTCACACGCTGCCCGAATGTTGCTCTGCGGTTGCTTGCTTGAGGTGATCGACACTTTGTTATTTTTTGTGCCAACCTTGCTTTCCAAAATACTCCAGACACAACGGATTGGTATCCGGGGTTTTTGGTGGCCATTGTGCGCTGGAAATGAAGCGAGGAACCTCATTTTGTAACCATTGTTTGTTTACAAACTGCTGAAATGTTTTCTCATCGGAGAAAACCAAATTCTTTTGGGTCTTTTTTATTTTTGGTGCGGTGTAACGCCTTCGTATAGCCCCCATATAATGGCACCTCCTGATATTCGGTTTCTGATGATACCGCCATTATTCACCGGCATTGTTTCAAATGTGGTTTTTGAAGTTCCTAATAGATATTAAAGCTTATGACACAAAATTGCCTTTGCAGGTCCAGGTCTTCGTATAACCTCCATACAATGGTACCTCCCAACATTCGGTATTTTGATGTTATATAGGCCCCATATATCAGTACTTCCCTATATTTGGTATTTTGACCATTTTGTGTTTGAAGTTCCTAATAGGTACCTCAGACTGTGACAGAAAATTGTCTGTGCAGGTTCACGTCTTCCTATAGCCACCATATAACTGTACCTCCCGATATTTGGTATTTTGTTGATTTTAGCGACATTATTCATCAGAATTTTGGTACTTGATGTTCGTAGTGGATACTTCAGCCTATGACAGAAAATTGTCTGTGCAGGTCCACGTCTTCGTATAGCCCCCATATAACTGTACCTCCCGATATTCGGTATTTTGATGATTTTAGCTACATTATTCACCGATTTTTTTAAGTTTCGCATTTGAAATATGACAAAAGTTACCTAGCAAATACATGTTCGTCTATTTTTCTGATGTCAGAGCAACATTACCTGAAATGTTTGCTTCGTATTCTCTTGGTCCGAGCCGGGATCGAGATCATATCCGGCTTAAACCGGATACAGGAGTTCAGCGATAGGGACTACATTGCTTCCTGTTGCGCCAATGTAGACGCCAGTGAGTCTTCATCTTCGCCGTCCACATCGTCGGCAGCGGTCAAGTGTGGAACCGCCGAGGTAGAGGTGCTTAACGTGTACATTCCGCCCCCACGTTATATGCCCAATGTCAGTAGGCAATAACCGTCTGGTGCTAGGGGATTTCAATGTCCATCATGAATTATGGCATTCCGTCCTTGGTAATGACCAGAGAGGCATGGCGCCGGCTGAGCAAATCGATTGCTAAACGTTTTGCACAGTGAATGAGGACGCGCCCACCGTCGCACTTTCCTTCGCCATGGGAAAGCCAATTGGCAAGAATTCAAAGAATATACCAATCGCCGCTTCAGGAAACTGCCCTGATGTTCTGGTAGCAGATATGTGTTTCCAGGATATTATCAGAGCGGCAGCCGCTCGCTATACACATGCTTGGCGAATACCTGAAATAAGGCCAAATTTTCCAGCAGGAGAAGCGGGATTAGCAAATGAGGGAGTTGAGTTTTTCCGTACAAATGCTAATAATCCCCGAGTCAGGAATCTTACTCTGGAGGGAAAGAGGTTAGTCGGTGAGCATAAGCGGAAAACGAGCTAGAACTTCTGAAGCATGCAGCATCAATACCGAATCGAGTAAGTTGTGGGCAAGTGTTAAGCCGCTCTCGAACCCTGGGAAAAGGATGATCGGATATCTGTCTCATTTAACGGCGTAGAAGTGACAGATCCGAAATTACAGATCACCCCGAGAGTGATAGTACTAAGAGGAGGATCCTACGCCATGTATGACCTGTTCCAGCCGAGGAGGTACCACCACAATTTACGTTGGATGATGTTGCACATGTCATCAGAAGCGCAAAGTCATCCAAAGCGTAGTCCTGACGGAATCTTTATGGTGATGTTGAAGCAACCAGATGAATCAAGAGTTGAGTATCTTACCAAATCCCTCAAGCTGTCGTTAGCTACCCTTATAGTTCCCGATGCCTGGCCGATATCACTTTTGTCACCAGTAGCAAAGACGCTTGAGGCTTTAAGAGAGGTTTCCCAGTAGCTTATCATCAACACGGATTCCGAAAATTGCATAGCACAACGACAGTTGAACATGTCATTTCCACACATGTCAGCCGCACACTTTTCACCACATGGACTGCGGAGATGAGGCTATCTTTGAATGTACAGGTCGATGGTGTTGTAATTCCGACCACTAACTACTCCAAGATCTTAGAAGTCATTACTACTCATTATGCGCCTCTGGTGCGGTCAGTGAACGTTAGTGCTACGCAGTGGCACAGCCTGCCCAGCTTGTGACACAGGTCCACATGACACGCTGCACCTATTACCCTGCCCAGACAAACCTTCTTAACAAACTCCGATTTCCGTTGTGGACCCAACCCGTACAGGCTGTATCCTTTTTGAGACTGGACTTAGAAGCAGAACCCGATTGAGAGGAGACAGAACGAACACAGCAGTATAAGCTGCTACAACAACGACAACAAGAAAAAAAATAATAACTAAACCAAAAAGCCCTTTTATCCTTAAGAATATGTAACACTCGTTTATGAGATCTTTGGATATTCTTATTCTTTGGTGCTTGATATCGAACATTTATTTCCTCTTTAAACAAATATTTTACAAAATATGGTCAGCGACAAACTTTTCCGTAAGGTTGCTTGGGTTTCTGCTGAAGAATACAGCCCGTATTCAGGTACCTTTGATCAAGTTCCGCTATTAGTTTCTTCTTTTCATCTTTCTCTTTGGCACAATGTTCCATGTACAATTTATACCATTCGTTATTGCGAACCTTGAAAAAAAATATAATTTTATATGAATTTAAAACAAAGATTTTGATTTTCAATACCTTTTGTCTATGAGATTCATCCAATTCTTGACAGATTTGCTGATCTTCTCGAGTTCGAAAAATGAAATCCTCTTCGAAGTTGTTCTGCTCTTGGGCAGTGTTACGTAGCTGATTGTTTGTGATTTGAGACTAAAAGAAAAGTAGAGAGAGAGAGAGAAATAATTGTTACTCTTTGCAACACCTGTCATTTGATGTCAAAATGGGCTTCAAAATGTCTCAGAGATAAGTGATTGACCCAGAAAATCTTGAAAGGAAAAAAAAACAAATAGGGTAAGTGCGCCTAAGTTCGGCATATCCCAGTAGTCGGCAGTTTTGAAATTTAAACTTAAATAACTAAAAACGGAATTGACCAAATAATGAAATAATTGCAAAAAAAACGTCAACAGTGTTCTTTGCTCTCTTTCTGTAAAAAACAATGAGCTCCTATCATTTATTACGAGAGAATAACGGTTTTCGTCAGTGAGTGCCTTACAACGCGTGCGATAGTGCTTGTTTGTAAAGAAGAAATTAGTGGTGGCGTCAACTTAATAATCGATTTAAGTAAATTAAATTTAATACTTTTGGAATCAGAAATATTTTATAATAGTAAATAACAGTCTAAAGATCATTTTATAACTTAAAAAACATACATAATCAATCATTTTTCTCTTATATTATTTAATGCCGACATTTGGAACAGAAAAAAAGAGATTTGCCAGTAGTCGGCAGGGGGTGCCAATTACTAGAAAAATATCATTTTTGACCTATTTCACCAAAACTTGAGAAAAGTATTAAAAAATAATCCAAAAACTACTAAAATAAAAAAAAATATTTTTGAGTCGGCAGTTGCTTTTATTTGTGCTTTTTGACTAATTTTTCTAAATTAAGTAGGTTTTATTTTGAAATCAGCTATTTGACGTTTTAGATAGCGGTGGCATTTAAAAAAAATCTTGGTTATCTAAAGGAAAAAGATCAATTCACAAATTCCAAATGTAAGAAAGGTACTTTTTTGTTTAATCTAATTTTATTTTAATTGATAATCCATACTATTCTTGATTTTCTACCTATATTTGGTTTATAATGATAATTAAATAAAACACTATTTAAAAACGAAATTAGTTAAATAAACTGTGAATTAGTATTACAGCATTGTTTTATACTATTTGAAATATACAAAATAATATTTTTTTTAATGAAATAGCATATGCCGACTACTGGCAAATATACATGCCGAGCATTGGAAAATGGTGCCGACTACTGGCAAAAAACTACTTTTTTGGTAAAATTGCAAATTTTGTCAATTTAATAAAAACAAATTCAATTGTTGTTTATTATTTCGAAACCTAAACAAAATATGGAATCTGAACAACTTTATTTTTCTTGAAAAGCCTAAAAGTGCCGACTACTGGTACACTTACCCTATGTGCAAAATTTGTCACAATTCAACAGAATTAAAGGTTCAATTAGACGTGACATACAATATTGCCGTAGCCTCTAACCAACGCTATAATCGTGCCAAAATTTAATATTTTCGATTAGCGTTGGCATTACCATAAACAACTATTATTTTCATATTTAGACAAAAATATTCCAATAAATGTACATAAATGGAAGAGCGAGAGTAAAGCAGGCCATCAACAGGTGAATTTGTTCGACGAACATGTGTTGTTTACATCGTTGGTGTTAGTGAATTTTTTGTTGGTGTTAGTGAATTTTGTGTACGTCGTTTTGTTCGCCAAAAATTAAAACGTTTCAATCTTTTCTGTGTTCGCACGAACATTTGACATAGTGGGTGGCAGTGTTCGCCGAACATCATTTTGCTTTGCATACCATTCTTTCATCCATATGCTGTGTTTTCTTTTTTTTAACTACCTCCTTATTTTTTTTCTTCCAAACAAACATGTATTGCCATCAAGGCAATGACTGTGTCGCGGTCGCTGTCTGATGACATGTTTACTCGATAAAAATTGTTTTTAAATGATGTTCGCGAGCATGTTCGCACTCGTTGGTGGGCAAATGAAATTTGAACAGTTCGTCGAACAGATTCGCCTGTGGATGGCCTGCTTAATGATAGAATTAGCATTAGCATGTATGGTCACAAATAGTTTCAAGAATTCAAAATTTTTACACCCCTCTCTCCCATTTTAATTAATCACTTTCTCATTTAACTTCACTATCCTTATCACACTCACCTTGTTTTGTTGTTATGTTAAAATATTTAAAATAACTGTTATTTTCCAATTTATATATTTCTATTCTCAATTGTAAGCTCTTCATATTTTCGTTTTATAGTTTAGTCTTAAGTTAATATTTGAATAAAAGAACAATAGAAAAATAACAAATAAATAATTAAAGAACTGTAAACCCGGATCAGTTATTTCTATAGACACCACGTCTATCTTTGATGAGCATTTGTAAGACACAAAATTTATTTAATAAAAATTTATTTTTTTAAGAATTACTTATGATAATATGACTTATCCGAACTTAGCACTAAGTGTAAATGAGAGAGAGATAGATACCAACTGTACACATGCCTATAGACCATACCACCATATATCTGAGGAGGACGTCATATGGAAAGCAAACATGATGCACCATAACACATGCAGCAATTGAAAAATCTAAATTATTTATTTCTAATTCGAAGGTCTGCTCACCACATTTTCTTAACTTATTTAATGTTGACTGTATTAAGAAGATCCCTCCCAGCTAGTATTTGGAAGATTGTTTTTGAAAAAATCACTTTGGTGAGTCTTCTTGAGTCCTTTTGGTAATCGAAAAATGATTAACTCAATTATGTGATCGAAAAGCGATTCGAAAATGACTCTAATGAGTAAAAAGAGATTTATTTAATATACAACAACAAAATGTAGGGGAATCGAAAATCAAAAAAATGCGAGAGTAAATCGTTGTACTCAGACAAACTATTCAACGCGTCAGTTTATTTAAGAAATCTCGCACTATCCCTAAAAGCTAATTTATCGCAAATTTCCCAGTGTTGTGTAATATACTGACGTAAATATCAAAAAAAATAAAAAATGGACAGACAACGGAAACAAACCACTGTTGAAGTGAGAAATTTAGTAATTAAACATTACAAAAACCATAAATAGCTAAGTGAGATATCTGAGATTGTTAATAGAAGCCGATCTACAGTTCAGTATATCATAAAACGGTTCAAAACAGATGAATGTGTAGAAAATAAGTTAAAAACGGCAAATTATAAAATATTTACCTTGAGTGATGAGAAGTATACTTTACAGCAGATCAAAAAGAATATTGCGAAAATGGCTGAAAAGAATTTGGGGAAATTATGTTGCCCTCAAACAATAAGAACTATACTGCATAAGTCGAATTACAATGGAAATAAAGAAGAAAGATTTCGATTTACCAAGGACCACATATCAAAATATCTCTCATTTTGGAAGAATGTGCTGTTCACGGACGAGAGCAAATTCAACCTTTTTGGTTTAGATAGCAGACCTTATGTATGGAGAAAGGCAAATGAAATGCTCCTTGGCAAAAATATGAAGCCTGCAGTGAAGCACGGTGGTGGGTCAGTGATGGTGTGGGATTAATTTTCAGCCTCTGGACCTGGTGTATTGCATTTTATTGCAATATTTGAAAAGACAATTTGCCACGAAAAGCTTGGCTTTGGCGGAGATTATTATTTTAATCATGACAATGATTCGAAACACAAGGCTTATAAAGTGCGTTCATGGCTGTTATATAATTGTCCCCACGTGATGGATACACCAGGCCAGAGTCCAGACATAAACTCCATAGAGAATTTATGGAGCTCTCTCGGTGGCCTTTGGCACGAATTATGGCCTTCAAACGGCCAATGAAACCTTCACACGCTGTCTGAATGTAGTTTTGCGGTATTTTGGCCCATTCCCGGCGAAGCGCTTGCTTGAGGTGATTGACACTTTTGGTATTTTGGGTGCCAACCTTGCTTTCCAAAATACTCCAGGCACAATAGTCGAACGGAGCTTTTGGTGGCCATTGTGCTCAGGAAATGAAGCGAGGAACCTTATTTTGTAACCATTCTTGAGTGGCGCGTGCTGAGTGCCATTGTGCTGAGTCCTGTTGGAATGTCCAAGGTCTGTGGCTAAAAATATTTTCGCGATAATATTCGCCATTTATTCTGATGCCACGGTCGATTAATACGAGCGGAGAGCGACCATCGGCTGTTATGGCGGCTCACACCATGGCCGGTGCTTGAGTTCTGGTAGCCAACCGAAGGTGCACACTTTCAGCTGACCTCTTTGGCAAGTAAACACGATCATTTTGTTTGTCTACAAACTGCTGGACAACGAATGTTCTCTCATCGGAGAAAACCAAATTCTGCAGTTCACCACTTTCGGCAAAGCGAAGCAACTCTTAAGCTCTTTTGGGTCTATTTATACCCTACAACACTATGTGTTGGGGGTATTATAAGTTTGATTGGGCCAGAATTTATGTAACACCTCGAAATATTGATTTCCCATATAGGAAAGTATATATGGATCTTCCTAGCTCGCCGAGCTGAGTCGATCTAGCTATGTATGTCCGTCCGTCCGTCCGTCCGTCTGCCCGTCTGTCCGTCTGTCCATGTTAATTTGTAATCACTCTACAGGTCGCAATTATGGTCCGATCTTTACGAAATTTAAAATGTAGGAGGGGTTAATGTCAGAATAGAACCCTATTTCTTTTGGAGATGATCGCCAAATGTTTAGGGGTTGAAATGGACCAAATACTGAAAAAATGTCGGATTTTGCAGTAGCTATACAGGTCGCAATTATAGACCAATCGACGAATTTCGCATGTAGCTAGAGTTTAGGGCGGGGAAGAAGCCAATTTGGGTGGTCATCGGATTATATTTAGCGAGTAAAATAGACCATATCTTTTGTATTGAAAAAAATCGAAATTTTTCATTAAACCGCGAATATTTTAAATCCCGGCTAAATCACAAAGCCATGACAGGGTTACTTCTGATCTTTACATTGATGTTAACATCCAACAAATCGGATATATAGCAAAATATGTGCGACATATTTGTCTATCAAAGAAGATATGCTTGAAAGATCTCTTTTATGGCGAGAACGGCTGAACTGATTTCGACAGTTCTCATTAATTCAGAATGGCCTCTTGGCAGAAAAGAAAAAACGTCTAAAAAATCGCATAAAAATATCTCTCTAAAGATGAAAATATTGATTTTGTAAATTTTCTCATATTTTTTCAATTTTGTCATATTTTTGGCATATTTTAATTTTGAATTATTTTGAATTAAACATTTGGTAATATTCCTACAGCTAACAAAACTAAGTAGTTAGGATATCAGGATATCATATACGGATCGCATTTATGGCCCGATCCTTACGAAATTTTGCATGGAGATAAGATTAGGGTCAGAATAGATGCCTACTCTTTTTGGAGATGATCGCCATATATTTAGAGGTTGAAATGGACCAAAAAACTGCAAAATTGTCAGCAGGTCGTAATTATCGACCGATCCTCACGCACTTTTGAATGGGGGTTACCGTACATTGCAAAAGCCAAGCAGTTTTGGATGGCCACCCAAAAATATTCAATGTGTAAAGGAGTTTGCCAACTTTTGTAGACAAAATACGAAAATGTCCATTCCAGTGACTTTTTGGAGAATTCACTAATACAGGAAAGACGCACTTCTGACTATTTCGTTAACGCTGATTTAGTTGAAGAATATAGTCAAATGGGTGTATCTCATATAGATGCGTTTCAGTCAAAAACCAATAATAAATGTTAATCTTTTGCCACTTCTGAGAGATTATGGGTCTTTGGGAAATATTGGTTCCAGATCTAGGAAGACCATTTACGTGCAACATCAACCAATAAATTGGAAATGAGCAAATTAGTTTAAGTTGCTATTATTCGAAATTTAGAGAACGAAACCTTATGGTTTTCTTTTATTATTTGTCTACCGTCCACTTCCTTGACGTCGGGCTACGCTACCAGTATCACGGCAACGAGCGATGGTACTAGACACAAAATATTTATTCACATTTAAATGCTGGAGTGCTCTAACGATAACAACTTTGAATTCCATTACGAATTTTTTTTTTCTCACCAAAATGTTTTTGTAGGCTTGTAAATAATATAACGAGCTGTCACTGGAATATTTTAAACAGCTCTCGGACGAGTGGCTTAAAAATGGCAGCAGTCTGAAGTTGGTTGGTTTTTATACCCTCCACCATACTATGGAGGGTATATTAACTTTGTCATTCCGTTTGAAATACTCATGTCAGACCCAACAAAGTATATATATTCTTGATCAGCGTAAAAATATAAGTTCATTTAGCCATGTCCGTCTGTCTGTCTGTCTGTCCGTCTGTCTATTGTAATCACGCTATCTTTCGAACGAATTGAGATAGAAGGCTAAAATTTTGCACACATGTTTATTTTTCCAGTAAGCAGGTTAAGTTCGTAAAAGGGCCATGTTGGTCCACGTTTTCATATAGCCCCCATATAACGGTACCTCCCGATATTCGGTATTTTGATGATTTTAGCGACATTATTAACCGGAATTGTTTACAATTTGGTATTTGAACTTCGTAATGGATACTACAGCCTAAGACAGAAAATTATCTGTGTAGGTCCACGTCTTCGTATAGTCCCCATATAACGGTACCTTCCCATATTCAGTATTTTGATGATTGTAGAGTCATTATTCACATTATTCAAATTACGTATTTAGAGTTAGGAATGGGAACTACAGTCTGTGACAGAAAATTGTGTTCGTGTAAGTCCCACATACCAGTACCTCCCTATATTCGGTATTTTGACGAGTTTAGGTACAATATTCACCGAAATTGTTTGAGACGTGTATTTGAAGTTCGTAATGAATGCTACAGCCTATGGCAGAATGATTATGATGATTTTTGCTACATTATTCACCATTTAATTCAAGTTTCGAATTTGAAAATCGTAATGACAAGTTGTTTAAGGATTGTATCTCCAAATTCGTTCCAAATTCGTGGAGGGCATTCAAAGTTCGGCCCGGCCGAATTTACTGCTTTTTAACTTGTTTAAATTTTGATTTTTGGAAGTTATAGGAAAAATATTTTTTTTCTTTAGCTGTACGAGTTTCGCTTGGATCTACCGTATGTCACAAAATATGCCATGCGAAGACTTCAATCTGCTTTTGTCGTCTCACCTTAACAAATAAGTTTGCTGTTAAAATACATTATGTATGAAATATAAAGAGAGTCAAATTGCAATAGTGTACACACTGCTTAGTTTATTGTAAAATTGTTGTCAAAAGTAGTCTTCTTGTCCGAACTAATGTGGGACTTAGAAATAGGCATTCATCCCCCCAAACTTGTCTAGCAAAAATATGTTAAAGAGAACTCTATTTAAGTTTTGCCTGTTTTGAGACGTCTCTTTACAACATCCCAACTTACCTTTAACCATTGATGTTGTTGCATTTTTTTGTACATCTCTTCGAGTTTTTGTTGTGTCTTACTTTTCTCGTCCAAGGTAAGGGCTCGCATATCGCTGGAAAATCAAGATACATAAATTAATTCCATTTCTTCAAATCGTATTTTCGGATCGCCCCCCATTTACTCACTCCTCAGCATAGAATTTCTTTAAAGTTTCACTTTCATTCTGTGCCATTTTCTTCTTAGCTTCCAAGAGAGCAACATTCTTTTGTTGATTTAATCCCTCAATTACTTTGCGTAATTTCTTCTCGTAAGCCTCTTGAAATTCCCTCTCTTGGCGTACATTTTCCATAACCTGCAACCAGTTCTGTTCGATTTGTCTCTCTCGCGACATGAGGGCTTTCTTTTCGGCAATTTGTTCTAGCTGCGCCTGCTTAGTTTCAACAAGGATTTGTTGACTCTGGCAAAGACGATATTCCTCACAGTTTTCTCTTAGGGAGGGAGAAATTTAATGAATTTTTTTTAAATTTGAATCGAATCTGAAACTTACAATTCCCGTTGTCGGTTCTTAAGTTTCAAAAGTTCTTCCTCAGCTTGTTGTCTCTCTATACATTTTGTATTGATCCAATCCAATCGTTGTTGTTTTGCTGACTCCACACGTTCTTTGGCCAGGAACAGGAGTTCTTCGTTTTGTTGTAATGATTCAAAATTCAGAATGTTTCGAAGCCTTGATGGGAAAATTTTTACAATCTTAATCTTTATTTAAGAAAGGCGAATAACAACTTAAGCTTTTCTACGAAGAAGACCTCTTCTATAAAGAAGACCTTAAGCTCTTCTAAGAAGAAGACCTTAAGCTCTTCCAAGAAGAAGACCTTAAGCTCTTCCAAGAAGAAGACGTTAAGCTCTTCCAAGAAGAAGACGTTAAGCTCTTCTACGAAGAAGACCTTAAGCTCTTCTACGAAGAAGGCCTTAAGCTCTTCTACGAAGAAGGCCTTAAGCTCTTCTACGAAGAAGGCCTTAAGCTCTTCTACGAAGAAGACCATAAGCTCTTCTACGAAGAAGACCTTAAGCTCTTCTACGAAGAAGACCTTAAGCTCTTCTACGAAGAAGACCTTAAGCTCTTCTACGAAGAAGACCTTAAGCTCTTCTACGAAGAAGACCTTAAGCTCTTCTACGAAGAAGACCATAAGCACTTCTATGAAGAAGACCTTAAGTTTATCCAAGAAGAAGACCTTAAGCTCTTCCAAGAAGAAGACCTTAAGCTCTTCCAAGAAGAAGACCTTAAGCTCTTCCAAGAAGAGGACCTAAAGCTCTTCTATGAAGAAGACCTTAGTCCCATCTAAGAAGAACTCTTATGCTCTTCTATGAAGAAGACCTTAAGCTCTTCCAAGAAAAATAACATAAGCTCTTCTAAGAAGAAGACGTTAAGCACTTCTGGCAATATCTTAAGATCTGAGAATTATTCTTCATAATCCAAATTAAAATTCCTGTGGGTGCTATACTTTCTCTTACCTTACTTGCCGCTCCTGTAAATCCAATTTATAGTCCTGGAGCTTTTGTTTCACCTTAAAAAAGGAATTTTTTCAATTGGATTTTTATCAAATAGTTTGATTATTAAAAATACCTTAAATCCAATGAAATTATGCAGATTTTTGTAATCCGTTTTCTGTAAAAACTCAATAACTTCCATTTTGAACTAACTTGTTGACACTTCTTGGTGAAACTTAAAGGCATAAAGTAATATTGTTTGTGCCTGCTCCATAGTTTCATGTGGCCGTTGCTGGGCTGCAGCTGGTAACAGGTGGTCATGACAACAGAAGTTTCCCACATCGAATATGGAAATGTGTGGCACTTTCAAAAAAATTGGATTCCCTTTGGTGGCCAAATTTATTTTCCATTTCGATTAGATTACTTGAATCCTCCTTTTTAAACCATGAGATAAAATGTTAGTGCAAAACAGACAAAAGACTTATGACACAAAATTGTTAACAAAAATAAATTTCCCCTCCAACACCCATTTCTATGTTGCCATGCCTTCAGAGATGGCGTTGCCTTCTGGTCAAACAAATTAATATTAATTTAGTTCTTGTTCGGTTGCCACCATCACCACTACCAGCTGGCGCATATCTACCAACCAACCGGCCAACCCACCTCATCTTTTACTCATCGATTCGAGCCGGAATCCTTCTCTTGGCCTGTGCATTGGTAATTTGCATAAAACATGATTCGACTGTGTTTCGGTTGACACGAAAGACAAGTTAACAAATTACATTTAGCCCGAAGGTCTAAATATGAATATCGATGTTGTGGCTGTTGTTAGTCGGTCTGTCTGTTTGGCATATGTTTTGTCACCTAGAGAGCTAATGGAAATCTGTAGCCAAGAACATGGGGATCGTTAAAAAGTTGTAATTCACTGGTTTTGTACTGGAGCGAAATTAGTGTAGACATATTGAAAATTATGAATTTATGTTGACAACGGGGTGTGGCAGAGCTATTGCAAACAGACTAGAAAAAATCAAAGCAGCAGAGATATAAATCATGTACGAAATTGTTACTTGATAGTAGGAAAAAAAAACTTGGCATAGAGAAATTAACAATGATAGAACGTTTGGTCCTTTAAATAGTAGTATAAAAACCAAAGTTTTTGTGTTCAGTTTATACCTTAAAAAATATATAAAAAATCACCGTTTATTGGTCGTTTGGTTCTTTAAATTTAAAAAAAAAACACGTTTTTGGGTCGTTTGGTCCTTTAAATACATTCGTTAAAAAATTCCCGTTTATTGGCCTTTGATCCTTTAAAAAATATTCTTTAAAAAATCCACGTTTATTGACCACGTTAATTGGTCGTTTGGTCATTTAAAAATATTCTTTAAGGATCCAAGTTTATTGGTAGTTTGGTCCTTTAAAAATATTCTTTAAAAAAATCCACGTTTATGGGTGGTTTGGTCCCTTAAAGATATTCTTGAAAAAATCCGTCCTTTAAAAGAATTCCTTAAGGGCCGTTTGGTCCCTTAAAAATATTATTTAAGGATTTAAGTTTATTGATCGTTTGATCCTTTAAAAATATTCTTCAATGGTCCCTTAAAGATATTCTTTAAAAAATCCAGGTTTATTGGTCGTTTGGTTCTTTTAAAAAATAATTTAAAAAATTCACGTTTATTGATCGACTTTCAAAAATATGTAACTTAAAAAATATTTTTTTAAAAATCCAAGTTTACTGGTTGTTAGGTCCTTTAAAAAATATTCTTATATTTTTTATTGGTCGATTGGTTCCTAAAAAATATTCTTTAGAAAATCCACGTTTATTTGTCGATTGGCTCCTTAAAGATATTCTTTAGAAAATCCACGTTTATTTGTCGATTGGCTCCATAAAGATATTCTTTAGAAAATCCACGTTTATTGGTCGTTTGGTCCTTTAAAAACTATTTTTTAAAAAATCCCCGTTAATTTGTCGTTTGGTCCTTTAAAAATATTCTTTAAAAAATCCACGTTTATTGATCGATTGGTCCTTTAAAAAAATATTCTTTAAGGACACAAGTTTATTGGTCGTTTGGTCCTTTGAAAAATATTCTTTAAGAAATCCAGTTTTATTGGTCGATTTGTCCTTTAAAAAATATTCTTTTAAAAATCTTTGTTCATTGATCGTCTGGTCTTTAAAAAAAAATTTAATAAATCCCCAATTATTGGTCGTTTGGTCCCTTAAACAATATTCATTAAAAAATCCCAATTTATTGGTAGTTTGGCCCTATAAAAAATATTCATCCAAAAATCGATTGGTCTTTTAAAGATATTCTTTAAAAATCCACGTTTATTGGTCGTTTTGGTCCTTTAAAAATATCCTTAAATATAGAACCGTTAATTGGTCGTTTGGTCCTTTAAAAATTCCTGTTTATTGGTCGTTTGGTCCTTTAAATAATCCTGCTTATTAGTCGATTGGTTCCTTAAAAAATCCTCGTTTGGTCCTTTAAAAAAATCCACGTTTATTGATCGATTGGTCCTTTAAAAAATATTCTTTAAGTATACAAGTTTATTGATCCTTTAAAAAATATTCTTTAAAAAATCCACGTTTATTGATCGATTGGTCCTTTAAAAAATATTCTTTTAAAAATATCTGTTCATTGATCGTCTGGTGTTTTAAAAATTCCCCATTTATTGGTCGTTTTGTCCCTTAAAAAGTCTCAATTTATTGGTCGATTGGTCTTTTAAAAATAATCCTTAAAAATCCAGGTTAATTGGTCAATTGGTCCTTTAAAAAATCTCTGTTCCTTGATCCTCTGGTCATTTAAAAAATATTCCTTTAAAAATCCCCATTTATTAGTCGTTTGGTCCTTTAAAAAATTATATTAAAAAATCCCGATTTATTGTTTTTTTTTTTGGGCCTTTAAAAATATTCTTTGAAAAATCAAGGTTTATTGGCCGATTGGCCCTTTAAAAAAATTCCCGTTTATTGGTCGTTTGGTTCTTCAAAAAATATTGTTTAAAAAATCCACGTTTATAGATCGATTGGTCCTTTGAAAATATATAACTTAAAAAAAATTCTTTAAAAGATCAAGGTTTATTTGGCAAGTGGCCCTTAAAAAATTCTTTAATATTCTTAAACAATACCAGATTATTAGTCTTTATTCCTTTAAAAAATATTCTTTTAGGATTCCCGTTTATGATCGTTTGGTGCTTTCAACCCCGTTTATTGGTAATTTGTCCCTTCAAAAAATATTCTTAAAAAATTCACTTTTATTAGTTGTTTGGTTCTTTAAAAAGTATTCGCTAACAATCCAAGTCGTTTGGTCCTTTTAAAAATATTCTTCTAGGATCTACGGGTTTTGGACTTTTTATCCTTTAAAAAATATTCTTCAAGGTTCCACATTTTTGGACGTTTGGTCCTTTTAAAAATATTCTTCTAGGATCTACGGGTTTTGGACTTTTTATCCTTTAAAAAATATTCTTCAAGGTTCCACATTTTTGGACGTTTGGTCCTTTTAAAAATATTCTTCTAGGATCTACGGGTTTTGGACTTTTTATCCTTTAAAAAATATTCTTCAAGGTTCCACATTTTTGGACGTTTTTGGTCCTTTAAAAAATATTCTTAAAAACCACGTTCATTCCACTCTTTCTAGAACCCCTTTCAGTAAGCGCCTCTAATCTCTTGGTATTCCGTCCAAAAATAACTCTCAATCGTTTTCAAGTTTTTCAACATTCTAACATAGTCGACATCAAACTTCCAATCCAAATCGAGATAATTCATACATTTGTATTACCAGGAAATAAATGTAATGCTCAGCCATAAACTAAAACTACTTTAATTAAATGCACGCCGCTAAACGGACAGAGTCTCAACCCAAAACACGCCATTACTCAGAGGAACGTACACACACACACACCGGGTACACACGAGACAGGCGATTTGTAGCAAAGACATGGCTTGGCTAACTGGACTAGATTTAGGTCTGAATACGCATTACCACTATTCGTGTTCGCAGATGGAATTGCAACTTTGGCTAGCAGCTAGCTACCTGTACGACAGAAAACACATCCCAGAGTCCACTAGCTAGTGGCTGTTAGTTGTTTTTGCTTTCGTTTTGGATTCCAACATTTTATATCCTAGCTGTCCGTAATTAATATGAATTGAACATAAATATTTCTTTAAATTTATCGAAAAGTGATAATCTTTAGTGGAATTTATGTTCGGAGTTGCTGGGTAATCATTGAAAGTGGTAGAGTGGTGGTGGTTTGCAGTGGCCAGAGCTTATCCCCTCAGAAGATGCTGGGACTTGATTTAGTTTGAATGTCCAACAACGTGTTTGTGTCTTAAGTCTTTTGTTTTTTCTTTTGACTTCCACTTGTTTTTTCGCAGCAGCCAAGTTTTCTTTGATTGTCAGTTGTTGAAAACAACATTGACTACTGTTTTGCAACAACATTCATCGCCTGCCCGATTCGCTTTCATTATTAAGTCATTCGCATGATGTAGTCTCGAAGTTGGGAATTGGTTAATAATATTTGTCGTTTTTTTTTTTTTTTTTTTTGATGTTGCAGACTTTTAAAATTGAAAATTTATTATTGGAAATGATTATTATCACTGAAAATGAAGTAAAAACGGAAAAATAATAACAATAATGTAAGGGATAATGGGCGCTAGACGTGGGAATTTAAGAGTATATATAAAATATATTTTTGTAAGGTTCTACAGAACTTTTACCGTATGTATTTTAAGAATTTTGTTTTCAGTCGGGTTTGCCGACAGATCTATGCGCTCAGCCAATGTCTGATTACATTTTGACTTCTGTTGTTGCAAAGCGGTCAGGCTTAATCCCTTTATTGTCGTTTTTATACCCTCTACCATAGTATGGAGGGTATATAAAGTTTGTCATTCCGTTTGTAACATCTCGAAATATACATTTTAGAGCCCACAAAGTATATATATTCTTGATCAGCATAAAGTTTTATGTCGATTTAGTAATGTCCGTCCGTCTGTCCGTCTAACCATCCGTCTGTGGAAATCACTCTAGCTTCCGAACGAAATAAAGAAAGTTGATAAAAATTTACTCAAATGTGTGCCATGTCTGCAGGACTTTTGGTATGGGCAATGTAGGTCCACGTTTTCGTATAGCCCCCATATAACGGTACCTTCCGATATTCGGTATTTTTATGATTTTTGCGACATTATTTACATGAATTGTTTTAAATTTGGTATTTGAAGCTCGAAATAAATACTACAGCATAAGAAAGAAAATGGGTCATGTAGGTCCACGTCTTCGTTTAGCCCCCATATAACGGTACCCCCCGATATTGGGTATTTTGATAATTTTAGCGACATTATTTACGGGAACTATTTCAAATTTGGTATTTGAAGTTCGTAAAATTGACAGAAAATTGTCTGTGCAGGTCC